ACTATTTCTAAATTAATGATACCAATGAAATCATTTCATGGAGTACTTATCCCAGGTTCTTCACAATTAGCCGGGGCAAGTGTTGTGGCTCAAGGTGGAACATTAGCGAATCCATTCAAATTATTAACTAAAGATGAACTTAATAAAATTTACACCAAAAATATATTTTATCGTTAATGGTTTTTAGGTTATTCAATAATTAATTATTTTTGAATAACTGAACGTGTCACTACGTCACCATGTCACCAGGTTAATTAACTTCTCTTAAAATTACTGACAACATGACATTTTGACAACATCAACAAAGGAAATTAAATCGTAAATGTTTTCGTTTATGATTTCGTAAATGTTTTCGTTTATGATTTCGTAAATGTTTTCAGTGTCACCACGTCACCATGTCACCAGGTTATTTAACTTCTTTTAAAAATGATGACAACATGACATTTAGACAACTAGCCCGGAAATTTGATGCAGTCCAAAAATAAAGTTAGTTTTAAAATTATTTTTATTTTTTTATTCCTATATAAATGACAGCAACAAACAACAACAGCAACTATATCGTTTCTGATGAAAAAGTTATTGATTCATTAGCTGAGGAATTAGTTACGGCAGAAACTAAAACCCTCAACGAAAGAATTGGTGAAAACAAGATTGATTTACATAACTACCTCAAACACGATGGAGGAAGAGGAAGGAAAACTGGTATGGCTTTATTAGTAAATAAAATTTCAAATTTAACGATTATAGATGTTGATATCAATAAATCATACAATGATGAACTTAAAGAAACAGTTAGAAAAGATATTTTATCAAAACTTTCGGATAAAGATGTTATCGTTAAAACCGCTTCAGGAGGTCTTCACATTTATTGTAACACTAATTTCTTCTATTCAGTTTCGAACAGAATGATTAAATGCTATTCCTGCAATGATTACGATATCGATATCATGACTTCAATGGATTATTCAAAGCGTTCTTTAGTAGTTATGGCTGATTCAAGAGTTCGCAAGAATGCAACAGAACCAATCAAAACATACTCATTCATTCGTGGAAGTTATGACTCGACCATAACCAGAACAGTGAATGATATATTAAATGATTTGAATATTAAGGTAAGAGTTGAACAGAAGAACGAAGAAATAAAGAGCATAATGAATGAAAACAAAGATGTAAACATTGACGATAAACTTGCCCAGAGCATAGTTAATGGCATCAGTGATTTTGAAGTACATAATGACGGTGGAAACATGAATTTAGAAAAAGAAGTTACATTATTCACACTGTTTCAAGCAATTAATTCGTTACCTAATCATTTAATTAATGAAGCATACGATAACGTTTATAACTTCTGCAATTTAACTGAAAATGCAAAAAGTAATTTTGAAAAAGCACGTAGTAGATATGCACATTTAATGACTTCTCCATTTGTTTTTTGGTGAAGATTCTAAAACTATATCAAAAGGAATATTATGATGAATATGTTTTACCTTTATTACGTAAGCCAAAAATAACATTTGATATAAAACTTGATGACTCGTTTTTGATAACAGATATTAGACGCAAGGCTGAAAATCATCAGTATAAAAACAGTTCTGAAGTAATTGAGGATTTATCACGTGTAATCCGTTTTGTAGATTGTGGAAATAAATACTTCATTCAGAAAGATTACAACATACACGATAAAATGAATCAAATATCATTCGTTCTTCAATCAAACATGAAAGAGTCACTTAAAATGATTAAATTATTTAAAGAAGAAGGTAAAACAATAACAGCATGGGATGTACTACTAAATCAATTATCCTCATTAACCGTTAAGGGTGTTTGCTTTAAATCTGATTCTCCAGATGTTTTCTCAACGTTTCAGGGTTATAAATACAACGTTCTCGAAAAACCAGATTACTCAAAAATTGAGATGTTTATGAATTTCATTAAAGAAGCCATATGTGATAATAACGATGAAGTGTATAAATACCTTCTCGGCTGGATTGCATCAATGATTCAACATCCTGGAATCAAGAATGAAACAGCAATTATTTTGAAAGGACTTCAGGGAACAGGTAAAAACAGATTTACAGACATTATTTCTGAACTTCTCGCCGGTTATTCATGTAAAAACATTACCGAAATAGGTGAGCTAACGGGTAATTTCAACTCAGTAGTTGAGAATAAAATGTTTCTTGTACTTAATGAACTCAAGAATGTAGGTGAAGATAGACTCGCAAACTTCAACGCTTTGAAATCAATTATAACGGATAATGAGATTAGAATTAATGAAAAGAATCAACCCAGAAGAACAGCACAGAACGTTGCAAACTTCATTTTCGTAACTAATAACGTTTACCCTGTCAAAATTGAAGTTGGAGACAGAAGATACGTAGTTTTAAGAGTTAATGGTAAATTCAAGGGGCAATTTGATTACTTCAAGAATTTGATGAATTCATGCACAAAGGAATTTTATGATAATTTACTAACATATTTTATGCAATATGACCTTTCATCATTTAATGTACGAATCATACCGATGACTGAAGCCAAACAAGATTTAATAGAATTATCAACAAATCCTTTAGATGAATGGATAAATACACATTATGATGAATTGTGTGCAGGTATGACGTGTAAAAATGCTCTATTCTGCAAACCATCAGGCATGAAAGACAAGAATTTCCAAATGAGCATTAAGGATAAATGTGAAAGGAAACAGAGAAGAATAGATGGTAAACAAACATGGTGTTATGTTTTGAAAGAAGAAATGAAAGGATTATATAAACAGGTTGAACCAAACGATAATGAGGATTCATTTACTGACGATGAAATACCTGTAAATGAAGCTTTATAAAGTATGATTTGAATTTATTTTTGCATTCAACCCAGGCTGTTGTCAAAATGTCATGTTGTCATCATTTTTAAAAGAAGTTAATTAACCAGGTGACACATGGTGACGTAGTGACACCTTCAGTTCTTCAAAAATAATTCATAAATGCCTTCCTCCTTTCGTATCTGTTGTCAAAATGTCATGTTGTCATCATTTTTAAAAGAAGTTAAATAACCTAGTGACATGGTGACGTAGTGACACCATCAGTTATTCAAAAATAATTAATTATTGAAGAACCTAAAAACCGTTAACGATAAAATAACTGATAACAAAATTTTATTTTTATATAAATGGATACCCCACAAGCTCAAAATTTACCACGAATCATAACAAAGGAGGAAATGATAAAAATGATGCAAGAACGAATTAAAAACAACAAACCACGAAAACCGAGAAGATGCGGTTATGCAGTAATGATGGAAAGAAGAATCCAGAAGGGTTCGGCGTCTCGAAGAGACGTTGTCGAAGAGGAATAAAAATTAAATTTGGATAGAGTTTAAAAATTCATCTTTATTAAATTCATCTCTTCCAATCAATTTATTTATTCTATTAAATTCTTTTATTTTTGCTTCACTCAGTTTAAGGATTGAACGGTAAGTTTCGAATTTTTCGATTATTTCTTTCCTCTCTTTATCGTTTTCAATTACTTTAGTTTTATGGGCATCAGCCCCACCGCATTGCGGCTTCTTTTTGTAATAGCATATTTTTGATTTAATTCTGTTTAATTTCTTTTTATATTCATTGTCTGGACTCTGAATCTTAATTGAATCAGGACTCTTGGCTGCTTTGTTGTCACTCATTTCTTACGAAATAAAAAAATTAAATATTATTTAAATATAATGGAGTAATAAAATAAATCGGAATTTCTATTAATTTATTGTTAACCTCAACTAATGCATTGCCGTTAATATATCTAACAAATTCAGCTATTGTGTCAAACCTTCGTCTTCTTTTTGTCATTGATTTATCAGTTTTTCCATAATCGAGATGAATCAAAACGTTATCCCCTTGTTTAAAATTTATGAGCCCCGAATTAATTTGTTCACGTTTAACATCATTTAACCTTTCCATTTGCTTTCTAATATATTCCCATTCTTTTGAAATATCATTTTTCATTTCCACTGGTTTCATGTTTATAGTTCTATGCCATGTATTATTGTAATAATATACTAACTGCTGTATGATGGAGTCATGATTTCCATCCCAGTATATCTGACCGTTAACCCCTAACGCATCTCTAAGAGTTCTCATTACCGCATCAACTATTTTATTATGAAACGTATATGGAGAGGATGAAAAGTAAAAATTAATTTGTGGGAAATAATGAGCCATAGCTGCCTGAAATCCTTTATCACCATCACCCCTTATATTATCTACTCTTTCATGATCTAGTAAGTATTGAATAGCTCTTCTTGTTTTCTGTTCTGTTTTCCCTTTCACCGGAATGCAATATAAATATCTAGTGTTAATGTTAATGGTGAATAAATAAGTAACGTTTCCTTTTGAATATTCCAGATGATCGATTTCGTATGAATATGGATATGGAGCAAATGAAGGGCGACTAAATTTTTCCTTTAACGGTTGAATTTTCGGGTCAGTTGGTTTATTTAATATCTTGAAATCCTTTTTAAAATCTTTTTGCTTCTTTAATGTTTGAAATGGATATAATAAAGTGAATGATGAAGGATTAACTGAAGGAGGAGGTACTACCGTTGGAGGTTTTGGTGTTGCAAGTGGTTTAATTTTATCTGCTTTGATTTTGGATGATGAAGTTTTGGATTTCATTCCTCCCTTCATTAATTCTGGATGTATTCTATTCATTTGTTTTAAATATGCTGTATATAAAGGTTTGATATACTTTCCCGCTTCGAGTTTATATTGAAGGATGAATTCCAAAAGTTGATCTTCATTTAAAAGTCGGGCTGAATATGGTTTAACTAATGAATCATAAATTAAAGCTTGTGCTTCATTTATAGTCTGAAGGACTTGGGCGTTTTGCACCTTTAGCTGTTGAACATTTGCTACTTTCTCTTTTGGTGTTGTTTTCGGCTTTTTCTTCTTTTGTTTTTGTTCCTTTGGCTTTTGCGGCTCAGGATTATATAATTTATATAATTCATCAATATCTTCTTCTGTTAATACTTTATTTTTGAAATCTTTCAACTGTTTAAGTTGTGATTTAGTTTTTCCCTTTGTATATTCATTATTTTTAATTTTGTCTTTAATTACAGAAATTATTTTATCATGATATTTCAAAATTTCATTTTTATAATACGAATAATAATAATCCATATCATCACCCGTTATATTTTTATTATGTTTTTGGAGATATGATTTTAATTCATAATAATTAAGAAAATTTTGATTAAGTACTAAATCATCAATTAAATTTTCTAAATCATCAATTAAATTTTCTAAATCTGCGTTATCCATTTATATAAAAATAAAATAAATGTTTTAAGGGTGCCCACCTCTTTGAATCATAGTATCAAAACCATTATTTACATATTGAATCGCATCATTAACGGTTCCTCCTTCTAAAACGGTATCAAATGGTGGAGTCCAGATTTCCTGATGATGATCATAAAATCCAGCAAAATTAATCGTATTATTAGGTAAAATATGAATCTCAGCGGTATATCTTCTATCTAAATTTGGATGCCTTATATGTATACCATTACTGCCCGGATAAAATCTCAAACCTTGATTTTGTTGACGCATCAAATTATTGAAATTTCTTTCTTCAGGGGTGAATGTTCTTCTCCGTTGACGTTGTGGTGGTGGTCGTTGTTGCTGCTGTTGATGCTGTGGTGGGATTTGAAAAATTCGTTGTGGTTGATTATTTGGAATCTGAAAGTTAAAACCATTTGGTATAAATCTATTCGGTTCCTTTTGTCTCTTCTGTGGCATTTTATTAAAAATAAAATTTTAAATTCATGACTCACCCCCTACGTTTTTAAATTGTATTAAATAAATGGCATACAACATCCATTTTCACAACATACAGCCTTAGTGTGTGCTCCTGTTAATGCAGTCTTACCGATTGTTAAGCGAGTCATTGACCCGTTTTTAAGTTGTAAATTAATATTCTGACCATCAAATATCACTTTATCATTTATTATATCCAAATAATTTTTAGGTGTTAATTGCTTATTTTGTCGTAAACTAACACCTTTCATTTTTTGTGCAATCTTTTTGAAGGAGTCTTCACCTATCATTCCATTAAATGAAGTATAACATTTAGGACATAACGCCACCATGTTATCACCTTGTTTCTCAATTGCTAAACCCAATAATTTTTTCTCATGTGCTTTTTCTTCAGCTTTATTCTTTAATTTAGGTTTAAATTTCTCATCAAAACAGAAGAAATCAAATGGTGCGAATTTGAAAATGTTTTTATCATAAAATTTTTTATCGGTAACAATTGCTTGAAATGCTTGAGTGTTAGGAAGACTTGGATCGCCAGCGATTGCCCAATAAGATGAATCAGTATCACCTTCAATGAAATGAAAACGATTAACATTCATGCATTTATACATAAAATCATAAATGAAAACCAAATACCAGTATTTTGCGTTATCTAAAGTAAAACATGCCTCTTGTAAACATGTATCACATCTATAAAATCTATCTTTGAGCATCACTTGATACGTATCCTCTCCTATTTCTCTTATGTTTTTAAACTTATTTGACATACATGCAACGCGTGCCTTCTGTGCATTCATTATTTTAGTCTTTGCGTAATTTTGCGTATTCATTGCATCGTAACCATATGATCCATTAAGTGAAATCTTGCAAAATAAACTTTTTCCTTTATTTCCTTCTAATTCAGCCTTTTGTCTTTCGTTCATAAATTCGTTCGCAAATTCATTAAAACAAGTGTTTTTCGTAAATGTTAAAATTGATTGAATATCATCGATGATAAAATGAAATCTGTCTATTAGATACCAAAGATAATAAGAAGAAAATGGTTGATATTGGTTGTGTGTTGATGCTAACTGAGTTAATTTCCTCTGTTTCTGGTCAACTGGTAAATTGTTTGATTTCATGTAATTATACATAAAACTGCCAATTGTTTTTTCATCTGTGATAATATCTAAGTTTCTTATTATCGGTAAAAAGTTTATGTAATCATTAATGTATTTTTCATCAATGTGACCCTTTACTTCAGCCACGAATAAAGTATTTTTCTTCTTAATTATTCCCAGTGCTTTTGCTTTCTTTGTTGCTGTATCACAAATGATAACACCATTCAATCTTCCCGGCATATACATTTTATGGTCAGTATATTGAATGAAATCATGAGGATTAGATGAAAATGATGAAGGATATAATGAATTAAAATCAACACCAATGAAATGAGTCATGATGTTGGAAGTGTCCTCATTTGATACAGTTTTAGTTTCTGGATTATATGAAAGTTTATTAATGTGCGTGATTCCTTTAAGATTTACTCTATGTTGAACATTTGATAAACCACCAGTAATTCCATTACGGAGAATGTGATAAGCTTCAACTGAATCTATAGTCATTGGTAAATTATTTTTTAATGCATAATTTCTTAAATTGATTCTTAAACGTTGAACATCTTCATCTTTATTTGATTTTACGACATTGCAATAACAACACATTAACTGACAATTTTCTTTGGTATGTGGTTTTTCATTATCGATTCTATCCAATGTTGGTTTATTTGCATATGTAAACGCTTTACCACACATTTTGCATTTAGATGAAAGGATTAAATCGTGATAGTATTGAAAATCATCCATTGAAACATTATTTTTAGTATCTCTTTCTGCTTTTTCATCTTGTTTCTTATATGATTCAATTTTATATTTCCAATACTTTTTCGTTAATTCAAAACTTGATTCTATCTCTTCCTCAGGATATTTTTCATTAGGATTAAAGTCTTTATATGCTAAAGCGTAACGAATCATTGAAGCATTCGATGATAAAGAAAGATTATGAAGCATGTCAATTTTATAAACAAATGTTTCTTCAATAATTTTACCGATTGGGTCAATCATAATTTCAACATCTTTATTGCAATAATGAATAAAATATTCTAATCTATTCTTAAAGTTTTTAGCATCATTGAGATATATTTGATAATCACTATCTGATATAGTTTCTTGAGTTAATGCTGAATAAAATGAATCTTGAGTGAATGGTTCCACTTTATATAATTCTTCTTCGTAATTTTCCCACGTGATGAATTGATAAGGGAAAAAGGATTTAACACGTGATTTATTGTTTCCGAAATCTTGAGTGAATTGGTCTAATGTCCCACCCGCTATATAATTTCTGATGTCAATAAATCTCAATTCATATGGAACGTTTGTTTTCTTTACAATGATTTGCTTAAATTGTGAAGATGAACCCAGCATTGATTTTATTTTCCATTTTGCAGTGTTTAAATCACGAAGAATTAAATTTAAATCAAACTTTCCCGAATTAAAACCTATGATATTCACTTTATTGAATTCCTCATCTAGAAGTTCTTTAAATGCTTCCTTCTGTTTTTCATTTAATGTATGGGACAAAGTCCCCGCCGTTTGCGGCTTCATTAATTCATTGTATTGACTCATATTTGATTTAGCAACTAATGAACAGGTTGAAAATAAAAACTCAATCCAATCAGAAATAAAAGAATCACTCGAAGTTAAGCAAAAATTCCTCGTATATGTTTTATCATTTAATTTAACCGTTGATGATACCATGAATGGTTTTAAGTAAGCGTTCAAAGTTGCACACTCAGAAAGTTGTAATTCTTCTTTAGTCTCTAATGTTTCAAAGTCAAAAGTAATATAATATCTTGTCGGTTTATAATATTTCTGCAAATTGTGAGCTAATAACCACTGATATATCTTCTGTTTCGTAATATGTGGTGCATATGGTTGCTGTCTTTTGCAATTGAACGTCTTGAATTAATCTTCCATTATTTTCTTTACATTTCTCACAATGCTTTAAAAATCTTCTTTGGTTTTTCCTTTCTGGATCATCACGGATAGAATAAACTTCTTCTTTACAATATGGACAAACTTTATAGCCGGTGAGTGCTTCAACGTCTGTTATTCTGTCAGCGTGAAGTTTTCCACATGGACTCTGTGTTAATAAAATATTTACTGTTTCAAATTCTGGATCTATCATTATTGATTCCACTAATGGAAAGTCTACCTTATTTATGTCCACGTCTTCTGGTTGAGGATCACAATAATAGAAATCAATATTAACATTTAACATTCTCGCTAATCTCTCACTTTCTGATGAAATGTCAAACCCTTCATATGCATCTATTGCTTCATTTAAATAGCTTCTACGAGTTTTAGGATTAACACCATCAGGAATGTTATAGAAGCGTTTAAATAACCTTCTACCTTCTGCTCTAATTTGATTATCATTCATTTTAGCTGTTCCGTTTTTGTTCATTTATGTAAGAATAAAAAATTAAAAAATAAATAAAAATAAAGTTTATTTTTTAAAGCCCATAAAATGAATTAAGAACACATAAATTTTTATCATCTGCGACGTGACGAATACATTTTAATTTACTCAAGAATGCGTACCCTGATACATTAAATCTAATTCCTGTCTTATTTAATTTCACAACTTTGAAAAGGAATGTATGAATAGCTATAAAATGATGAGAAGATGTTTTATGGGTTGCTTCCATTTTTTCTGAAATAAATGAATAAATATAATGTTTATAAGTTTTCATATCTTTTATGTTCTTAATAACGAATGGTATAGACCTTTCAACTTCGTCTTCCTTCGGTGCTGTTCTTTCATATGAAACATTATTGTATCTTCAACAATGAAACCACAATCACACAAAATTTTATAGTTCCAATGGTTTCTTTTGATATTTTATCTAATAAATCAAAAACTTTATCAACACCTGTGCATTTATTTAAATAATAATTTGTGTAAATATCATGATCTTCTTTCTTAATCGTATTAGTTGCATATGTCACGTTTTTAAGAGCTTTTTTGAATTTTGGAATCTAAAGGTGGTGAAAGTAGATACAGGGGTATTCTTCATTATCAATAAATTGTAACTTATGTTTACGAATAAATTTAGTACCTTCTTCTGAAAGTGTTTCGTCTATTTCACCATCTAATAAATTTTGTGTTGATTCTGAGACATAATTTTTATATCTTTCTTCATGAGATTTCTGTACTTCTGATTCTGAAGCTGGGATATTCATTAAACCCTCTACTTCATTTTCATTATATTTTTCAACTTCTCTTAATTCCTTAATTTTTTCATCTATTTCATCTCTTATTTTTTTCAGTCTTTCAATTTCATTGTATTCATCATCTTTAATCCGTTCTTCATAATATTCAGGGAAAACATCAGGTTCTTTAGGTTTTTCTTCTTCAGATGTGGGATATAAGAAATTTATAACATCATCTTTATTCATTTTTCCATCATAATCTAAATCATTTAATAACTCGGCAAATTTTTGACAATTTCTTAAATAATATTTATTAAAAAAAAAAAAAAAAAAAAAAAAAAGGTAGTGGGGCTTCCAGGCACTTCGTGCCTTCTAGCCCTGATGTTGATGTTTAGTATAAATGAAGTTTTTATTCGGAAAATTGTTAGTCTTCTGGGTCGAAAACATTATATATAATGTGTCGCTTTTCACAAATTATATATGTTTTCATGTTTTGTTAAGACTTCTTCGTAAATGTTTTGTCAAGACTTTCTTCGTAAATGTTTTGTCAAGACTTCTTCGTAAATGTTTTTCAAGACTTCTTCGTAAATGTTTTGTCAAGACTTCTTCGAAATGTTTTGTCAAGACTTCTTCGTAAATGTTTTGTCAAGACTTCTTCGTAAATGTTTTGTCAAGACTTCTTCGTAAATGTTTTGTCAAGACTTCTTCGTAAATGTTTGTTTTTCAAGACTTCTTCGTAAATGTTTTGTCAAGACTTCTTCGTAAAATCAGACAAAAATAATGTTTAGGTGAAGAGGTGAGATTCACCTGTTTTTTCACCTAATTTTTCACCCTCTTGAATTTCATGAATTTTACACCAAAAATAATGTTTAGGTGAAGAGGTGAGATTTCACCTGTTTTTTCACCTAATTTTTCACCCTCTTGAATTTTCATGAAATTTACACCAAAAATATACACTAGGGTCATTTACGAAGAAATCTCAACAAAGTCTTTACGATGAATCTTGACAAACATAGACAAGAAAGTCATGAGAAATTAGATGAAGAAGTCTTAACAAAGTCTTTACGAAGAAATTCATGAAAATTCAAGAGGTGAGAAATGAGGTGAAAAAAGAGGTGAAATCTCACCTCTTCACCTAAAATATATTTTGGGTCATTTACACTCATTACGAAGAAATCTCAACAAAGTCTTTACGAAGAAGTCATAACAAAGTCTTTACGAAGAAGTCACAATAAACATCTGTCAAAAACCGCTTTTAACTTCACTTAAAATGCCACGTAAGCTACGTAAGAATATACGTAAGAGGAAGAGAGCATTAACATCCAATAGTAAAAACTGACACCAAACAACAGTTGCAACAACAAATGATGAATGACCCCACTATGTTGCAACAAATGTCAAGCAACCCTATGCTTTTAAACCGAGTTTTTGGTGCACAGAGTGGAGGTTTAAGCGGCACTTTTAGCGAAAAATGGCAGGCTATGGTGGAGCTGCAGACGGAACAGCTTATAACCCTCAAAGTCAAATGAATTTGAGTTCACTCAAAAATCAAATAACAGAGTCAAAAAGTCAAACATAGACATACAGAAGCAAATAAGTGAAAACGAAAAAGAAACTAGAATATGACAGACACACAAAGAAACTAAATGAGTTAAACGTAGAGAAAAAGAAGAAAGAAGAACAACTGAAAAAACTAAGTACAGAGAATATGCAAAAAAAAGTGTCAGAAAAAGCAGCAGAAGTAGCAAAAATGGAACAAGATGTCATAAATTTGAAAAAACCATACTACTCAATATAAAGTACTGAAAGATGAAGAAATAAAACAAAAAGCCCTGAAACATATATGGATAGCGATGAGTATAAAAAAGAAGTTGAAGCAAATGTAAAGGCAGAAAAACTTTTACAGTTGCAAAACCAAAACCGTACAGTATGAAAACTTAGCACAAGAAAGTAAAAATAACGACGCAGCCATGCAAAAGGCAATGAAAAGCGCAGAATATATAAAAGCTAATAATGACTGGTTAGATGCCCAAGCCAACGCTAAAGCAGCCCAACTTATAGGGTCAATAAACAAAAATACAAGCGGATGAAGACAGTTCAAATGAAGCTTTAACAAATGCTGACTTTAAGAACGCTTTCGAAGCTCTTCATAGTAAGGTGAAACAAGTGAACGACTTCTCATCTGGAAAGAAACTGAAGTCTGAAGGTTTCGACAAAGAGTTAAAAGAAGTAGCACAAAATATGACGAAAATAACAGATGCAGCAACGAGACAGGCAGTTCAAAGTGCCTATGACGCCGTTAGAGCAACTGTTGTGAAAAGTCAAGAAAAAGAGTTACAACAGACCAAAACAGACCTAGTAAATGCTTTCTTAAAAACGAAAAGTCAGGTAGGACATTATGCTGCAGATGGAACATATGTGCCAGCTGGTGGAACTTATATACCACCAAACCCTCCAAGAGAAGCACCTGCACCAGGACTACCTAAAACATTTACATCGTCACATGGACACAGACACAGGCATGCACCAAAACCAACAGTTCAAAATCCAGCACAACAACCAACACAACCAGCACAACAACCAACACAACAACCAGCACAGCAACCAACAGTTCAAAACCCTGCACAACAACAACCACAAACAGAGCAAGGACATAAAAGAAGTAGAGAACAAGGAAACCAAGAATTCTTAAAAATGCTTAAAGAAGAGTGTGGTTTCCCAGATAGTATTGACTTTAGTGACAGATATAAAGAAGCTATTAGAAAGTTCAAGGATGGAAATACTGACCCGGACCTATTTAGCTTTATGGCTCAGCACCAAAACGGATATAATCTCAAACCTGGAAAATACAAGCTCGCTAAGGGATATGATTTAATAGCATATCATCCAAATGACATGGATGAATTTACTCCGAGATATTTGATGTCAGAGCTAAATGACAATTCAACTTTCGTCATGAAACGCGTAAAAAATAGAGACGGAACGAAAGAACAAAAGCTTATGAATGCGGATGACGTAGATAGGGAAATTGTTGAAAACGGTCTCGGAATATATGAAATGCCAGCAGATGAGGTACAAGAAACTCCACAGGAAGAACTAGTTCAGATACAACCAGACATGGAAGAAATAGTTCAGCAACAACAGCTAGAAGAGCCTGAAGGAAACGAACAAGTCCCTCCTTTGGAAACTAACTTCACAGAACTAGATGACGATTTGGAACAGCCGAAAAATCTTGACCCTCAACAAGTGTATGCGGAGAATATGGAATCTTTCCAAGAGTCAAAAAAAAATTCAGCTGACATAGTAGAAGAATATCGAAAAATGTTTGCCGACATACAAAAGACTCCAACACCAGATGAAAATATTCAGCATAGAATGGAAGAACTGAAAAAAAATGTACACAAATACAACAACCCTTTTTACTTACGAGCATTTAACGTTCAATCTTCGGATGAACTCGGTGAAGATAAAAGGTTAAATTTCAAGAAAACATATAGAAATGAAACATTGTTTAAAGTTCATTCAGAACCTAACCAAGATGGAAACAAACCTACTTTTGTTTCTGCAGACGATGGAACTACAATGAGATGGGGTCATAAAGCTAACCCGGATAGGTGGTTCATAAACTTACAACCTCAATTCCAAGAAGTTGTAGACGCAATGGAAGTCAATGGTGAACGAGACATAGCTGGTATTTTAAGCGCGGCTTTAATGCCATTGAAAGATATGAAACATGCAGATATTTTGGACCAGTATGAAATGAACATGGCTGATGGAAATATAACACCTGACGTTCTAGAACATTTATCTCAAAGAACTACACAGAACCATAGAGATGGTATATTTGGTGAAGAGTTTAGAAAGAAAGTTATGGACAGAGAAGGAAGAGAACCTATTGTACATGACCTTGCAAACGAAAGTTTACAAAATGTCATAAAAACTTACTTTGCAGACAATGAACCGAGAAGGGATGAATATTTAAGAAAACTCAAATGGACAGTACCAAATGAAATGTTAGTATTGAAAAACATGTTCCTTGACAAAATAAAACCAACTACAGAAATAAACGACGCAAGACTGAAAGATTGGGTAGAAGCTTTCCCATTCACAAAAGATATAGTTGGTAACATGGAAAGAAAACCAGAATGGCTACAAAAACATATATTTGGAAACGAGCATATTCCATATGGACAGGCACTGTTTGAAGAGCTTGAACCGGAAACTCAGGACAGAGTCATGCAAACAATACGCGAAGACTCAAATACAAACTATGACAAACTCTTTCTAGGATATAGGTTACCTGAGATGGGCGACCAGAGCCCAAAGGCAAAAAGGGCATGGAAAATTTGCAACATACTAGATGAACATGAGGCAAAGATGCAACAACTTCAAGCAGAGGGCAATGAAGGAAAAAGAAGAGTTAAAAACTCAGTCAGGAAGAAAGTAAAGCTTGGTCCACGTGGGTTCTATTATGACATATAAATCCAACTATTCTATATTTTTACTCATATGAAATGTACGCCGCTCAGAATATAACGCCAACAGTTTTGGATGCTATGAATGGAAATGTTTCCGAATGGTATAACGAATGCGACAATGCCATTAGAAGGTCAGAAATAGTTCCTGGAACTTACGAATATACAACTGCTGTTTCTTATGGAAACGTAGGTGAGTTTGGAGAAGGTTCTTCAACAACAGTAGATATTGCTTGCGACAGGTTTCATATTATTTCTATTGACAACTCATTCTTATACGTGGAACAAGACATTGAAATAAAACCTTCTGCCAAGTTGTCTGACAAGAAAGGTTGCAATGGAATTTTCTATGTCGGATACCAATATGCTCCAGAAGTTTTCATGGGATATAAGATATATTCTAACTCTGACTTAGTTCAAACAGTAACATGGGCAAACTATGAATGGTTCGCTTTGAGAAACTCAGTACAACCACAAGCTAGAGAACAAACAGACCAGTATGCAACTATTGAGAAAATAAGAAGACTTGACCCTAACGTTCCAGGAGTTTATGTTAACCTTTCTGGACAAACTGCAGCAGCAGTAACCAAAGTAAAACTGAAACTTAGAGTTCCTTTGTCATCTTTCCTCATCTTCAGGTTTTTAAGATACTTGCCAAACTGGGCAGGAAAAATTTCTATCGAACTCACCCCAAGCAAAAATAACTTAGTCATTGCACCAACACAAGACCCATTCACTCTTACAGAAGTAGTGGGAACAAATAAAATGTCATTCGCCGACTTTTGCAAAAACAAAGTTGACTTAGACTTTGGTTTCTCAAACCTCAACACTGAAGTAAACTATTATTTCAATGCTGCTGGAGATGCTTGGGACCCAGTTAAGTTTACATGCGAAAAATTTGAATGCAAGAGAATAGAAAGCAGACTTGCAGTCTATATGTTGGACCCAGATATTTCAAATGCTTTAGCTGCCAAATATATTGCAGTTCCACTTATGTTCCCTATACACCAAATATCTGTCAAAGACTTTGCAGGTGAAGTTGGAAACCAAAGTGCTGACCCAGGTGCAAGAACAGATATTGCTTTAACAACTGCAATGAAACATGCAGATACTATGTTTGTACTGTTCAGACGAACTATAAATGACTATTCTTGTTTCTACAACCCTGGTATTAAATATCATATAAACATAGATGGCAAATATTATCCAAGAGAAGAATATTCTACAGTTGAGGATATGAGGTCATACAACTTGACATTAGATGCTATGAACTTTAACAACAACTTCACAACAACCATTAACCCTGAAATGCAAAGTTCTATTATGCCATATGTGAAAGTATGGACTCATACAGGAGGTCAAAAAACTCAATATACAAATGGAGACCGTTCAAACTTTTGGCTTGGCATTCCATTTGCTGACTCAGAAGACTTTATGGGTGGTATTTCAACTGTTGGTACTGTACAAATACAATATACTGGTGACAGAGACGGTCCAGATGAACTGAGAGCAATGAAGTTTACAAAACCAATAGCACTTTTCACGGAAGATGCTCTTTTGAAGATTCGTTCGATGAAACCTGCTGGGGCTCCTCAGATTGGTATAACGACAGCTTCCATCGAGCAGATTTTGGCAGCAGGTCAGTAAGTTGTTCTTGAACTGACTTCTCTCCGTCAAATATTGACAGTACGCCAGTTTTGATATAATATTGTATTAAAAACTTTCCTTTAGAAATATCGGTCAGTTTTGTTGTTATATTTTTGTCTGCTTCAAGAACTTTCACCATTTCGGTTATACCAACTTTCTTTGCTTTATGAAAATATTTTGGTTCAGCAAAGACTGCTATTCTATAACATTTTCCATTGTTTGTATAAAGAACTATTCTGTCAATGTATTTGTATTGTGTGTGTGTAAACTTTGTTCTGCTTCAATTCGAAGAGATACTCAAATACGTCCATCTTTTTATTCTAAGTAAAATGTCATTTCCGAAAAATAGAAGCGTAAGTGTTTCAAAAGGTTTAATGGCGGTGGCAGATGTGAAGTTAAATTCACCAACTCAAACAAACAGTCAAAGTGTTATTGTCAATGTCAAAGAAAGAGATGTTGAAATGGGGAAACCATACGAAGACCAAGATGGTATAACATTGTTCCTGTAAAAGAACAACCAACATATCCTGAAGTTAGCAGAGACTTAAGTTCTGTTGCAGATATTCGAAACGACTACCAACAACTGAAAGACAAACTTCAAACTCAGGAGAAGATTTGTCAAGCTTAAGTATAATGTTAAACTTGGTCGAACACAACCCTGTAAAAGTGAACTCATATGTCATTGCACCTCATGAAGTTTTGAAAGAACTATTGAAACTTTTGACAAGGCAGACGATATAAACATCAAAGAAATAGAACCCGACGTTAGTTGCTGTGGTGTTTCATATAATGTCATTGACAAGATATACGTTATGAAAGGAGGTGAAACGTTGAACTTAAAGTATAGTTTCCCAGACGTCATAAAAATATTTGACGACCACAACATTTCATTAAAATTTATTTGCTAAGTAAATGGCAGAAGACACAATGGTTTATACTATTACGACTAAAAACCCTGAGTCATATAATTCTATAACAACAAACTTACAAAGTCCTCAAGGACGATATTGTAAACTAACCTTAAACACAATGACGACTAAAGCCTGTTTTGCTCTTTTGACACCAGAAGACTTTATTGTTGTGAATGTAAAAAATACTCCTTTGAAGATACTTACTCAGATATACCACCAACAGGTTTTGTTGACTTATTTAATACTTTAAGGACGGATGTAACATGTGCTGCAACTAGAGCAGGTTTCATTATGTTTGGATGTCCGATGAGTTTAGTATAAACGATATGAGCTATAATACAAAACTTATATCTGGTTTTTACTACCAACAGTTTCCTATAACAGGAAAAGGTGTCATACAAGGAATGTCTATTCCATTGACATTAAGCACACCAATCTTATATATTGTTTCAAACTTAGGTTCAAAGTGTTATTCGAATGTTGACAGAAACTATTATGACCAAAAGATACTTATGCGTATAAACAATACTTTCTCTGCTGGTTTGCCTATTGTTCATTCGAATGCAGAATTTTCAACCTTAGTGAACTCAAACACTTTGGCAAGTATAACGTTGACATTAGTGACGCAAACTTGTTCCTGTAAAACTTTTATGTCCTATGTATTTGTCAATGACGCAGAAAGTTTCGAATTGGAAGATGCAACTGGTGAAAGTATTGTACTACAAGAACAACTTCAACAACAAAATAGCTCAAGAACAACAAATGCAACAAATGGAACAACAAAGTCAAGAATAAAAAAAAATATTTTTTTTTTTATTTTTATTAAAAATGTACAGAATAGATGTTTCAGATTTTTATGACTTCCAAGCATTCAGAAATATGTGTCCATTTAGAGACTATAACAAAGCAGTCGAGAATTTGAAACGTTTAGTCATTTATGTCGACTCTGCCCCCCAGAATGTTATGTTATGAAAGAATGGGATGTTGTCTTTAAACAAACCAAGAGCAACAATAGTTCAGAACAAGAATGTAGACAGAAACTTAAGAAAATAAAAGTTGTACAAGTTGGAATGAAGATGTTAGATGCTTGGGATATCTTATTGTCAAAGTTAGAAGATTTTTTCAGTTCGAGGTATAAAGTTTTATACACCTTCTCCAAACTTCTATTCTATCTTCACTGGATATAAATACGAACAAGTAGAATGGAAAGAAAATATTATAGAAGCTTGGTTAGACCATGTCAAAGAAATTATATGCAATGGAAAAAAAGGTTTTATGAGTATATCTTATGTTGGTTTGCAAATATCTTACAACATCCAAGGCTAAAAATGAAACTGCTCTCATTATAATTGGAAAACAAGGAACAGGTAAGAACAACATTCTTTACAGATATCTTATGCAAACTGTTAGAAGGTTATTCGAATCCGAATATGACAAACTTAGAAAACATCTGCGTAAAATTTAACTCCTCAATAGAGAATATGAAACTTATAGTTTGCAATGAACTTCAAAGTATAGATACAACAAAAGTTTTAAAAACTCAGATGCTTTGAAGAGTCTTATAACAGACAAAGTTGGAGTTGTTGAAAGAAAGTATAAAGACCAAAGAGTTTGTGAAAATGTTGCAAAACTTTCATTATGGTTTCAAACAATGTTGTTCCGATGAAGTTAGAAAGTTCTGACAGAAGATATGTAGTTGTCAGAACGTCAGATTCTCATATGCAAGATACAGAATATTTTGACGACTTAGCAGAAACTTTGACATCTGACTTTTACAACCACTTGTTCTCATATTTCATGACATTAGATATTTCTAAGTTCAATCCAAGACAAATTCCACATACCGAAGAAAGAACAAACATTGTTAGAAGCAAACAAGAGTGTATATGAACTGTTTATAGATGAAAACGGACTTTGAGTGTTTAGATGAAAGGTCATTGTACGATTCGTATAAACAATATTGTCAAGAATATGGTTATATGGCAGCTTCTAAACGTACATTCTTGGCAAATGTCAAAAATCTTTTAGATGTTCAGAACGGCGTATATACAAAGAAAAATTTTTCTGAGTAAATTTTAAAAACAGTATTTTTTTATTTTATTTGAAATGTACGCTGAGTTTGTTGGAAAAGACTGTTGGAAAACTTGTTTGTTAGATGAGAAATATGAAATTCACTGTTGTGAGTCATTTGAAGTCAGAAACAAAGAGACAAAAAGAGTTTTAAGCGGATGGGAGGGAAATAAAGGATATGCTATTATGAGGATGAGTGGGAAATGCTATTTTAAACATGTTGTCATTGCAACTCATTTTATACCGAATCCTAACAATTTACCTTTTGTAGACCATATAAACCGTATAAGAAACGACAATAGACTTGAGAACTTACGTTGGGTTACTCGTTCTGAAACAATAAGAACAGAGGCAAATTTGGAGATATAGTATTCGAATTTGTCGACGAACTAGAAGATGAAGCAATTGAAATTACAGACTATGGTAAGCATACGTTTGAGTTTTACTACTATAGCGAAGAACAGGACTCTTTCTACCTTTATACCGGCGTAAACTATAGAAAATTACAAGTATGTTTTACTAAGGCGGACTATGCTTATGTAAACGCTAGAGATACAGATGGAAAATACGTTCAAATACTTCTTAACAAATTCAAGAAGCTATATGGCATACCATTTTAAAACGTTTTTTAAAAAAATATTTTTTTATCCGATAGAAAAGATGGCAAAATTCATCTCAGTAAATAAGTACATGACAGAAGTCAAAGAAGAACTAGACCCATTCGCTTATTTGAATGTTTACTTCTACCATTTTGAAAAGTCTTCATTTGACAAAGTTTGGAACATCGAACCAGTTAAGTTTGCTATTGTGACTAAAAATGGTGCGAAATTTGAAGACTTAGACATAGAAGGTTTGTTAGCAGTCAAAGAAAATTTTGACAGAAGGTTTTCAAACCTTAAAGAAGGCAAAGCATACAAACTTGTTATACCTTATGAACCAAAGAAGACAGACGACTATGAATATTATGAGTCTAAGATAGTTGAAGTTCAAGGTAAGTTGGGTAAAAAGATTTTAGAGTCTAAGCCAGTGTTTGCTCCTAAAGAGGAAGAGAACATTGACATTGACCCAGAAATGTTCTAAAAATAAAAGTTTATTTTTACATGTCATATCTCACCTTCTCTGGAACTGGTTCAGGTTCTTTCTTCTCTTCTTCTACTTTCTTTTCTTTCTTTTCTCTCTTCTTCTTCTTCTCTGGTGGAGTTATGTCAAATTTGGCGCAACCATATTTATGTAAAAGTTCTTTGTCCTTTAATAGCTCATCTATTCTGTTTTCTATTTCATCTTCAAGAACAGCGCATGTGTCTTCTTTGCATTCTAAGAACTTTTGTTGGACTTCATCTTTCCAATCGGCGTCATCTCTGTCAACAAGTCTGTCATTGACAAACTTAAAGACTTCTCTGCTTAATGTTTTATGGTTCTTGTCATATTCCCAGAAACAGAACTTTAGAACAAATTCACCTTTCTTGTTTACACTATGTAAGATTTTATGGTCGACAGATGTTTTAGAGTCAAAAGCTTGTCTCGAATATAGATAGCGAAATCGCTAGACATTTTCTAAAAGATAAAAATTTTAATTTTCTAAAATATGTTAGAAAAAAAGTTTGCTGACATTGACAAGAAATTTGAGAATGTTTTGAAGAAGAACAAGAGGAAGTTAGAAAATGCTCAGATAAAGCCTATACATGACAAGTTCTTATTTGCTCAGAATGGTATAACAGGTCTAATTGCACCACCTGGGTCGGGTAAGACTTTCACTTATCTTAAAATGGCTGCACAACAACAAGAACTAGATGAGAAGAACCCATTCTATGAGTTAGTTGTTATTTGTAGTACTTCTGGTCAATTTGACCAAACCGTCAATTCGTTCAAAGATATTATAAAGAAGTCTAAGTAGTATGTATAAAGGATACTGAGTTGTTAGATTGGATAAAGAAGTACCAAAGAAGAGTTTTGAAGTATAATGCTATAAATGAGTATATAAATTCTAAGTTTAAAGACCCAAATGAGGAAATGCAGAGAATATTAGAGAAGAAACACTTCAGAAACAAACAGAAAGAGATAGAATACATTTCGAAGAAATTGCAATCTTACGATTGGAAGACTTACCTCACAGATGTCTTCTTATCTTAGATGACTTTGCTTCTCATCCTTTGTTAAAGAACAGAGAACAAGATATGTGTCGAATTCTTAAGAAGCTCAGACACTTTAACATCTCAGTCGTAATATGTGTACAGACAGCCAAGAGTTTAAGTAAGGATGTTAAAAGAATACTTACTGACATAATACTTTTCCCCGATTGTCCGAAGACGATTTCATGGAACTTATGAAAGAGTCCATGGCAGGTAAGTTTGACAGACATGAACTATGGGAGAAGTACAAAGTCATACAAGACCCTCATACTTCTTTCAGAATTCATATCTACGCAAACAAAGTTCAAATTGTAAAAAGTCAAGCTTGAAAAATAAAGAGTTTAGTCTTAGTCTGTTGTGGTGCTGGGGCTGTCGGTTCTTCTGGCTTTGGAATGGACTCGGTTGGTGGTACGTCGGACATTCGTTTGTGTCCTGTCGGAAGGAAGAGTTCTTCCAGTTGGAAGGAAGGACTTTTCCTGTCGGAAAGAAAAACTTTTCCTGTCGGAAAGAAAAACTTTTCCTGAAGTTCGACCAAAAAGTTCTCAATTTTCGAAAATTTGAATGGTTTACGGACGGACAACTGGAAAATTTTTTCTTGTCGTCGGGAAAAATTTTTTCTGTCGGAAGGAAGAACTTTTCCTGTCGGATGGAAGGACTCGGAATGCCAGAAGGATTTGACGAGGCAATTTACCTAATTGAGCTACTTGAGCCATCTGAAGTCAAGCGTAAAAATAAATGGTTCATTTACTCTGCTTGTTTGAAGTTGTCAAAATACTCTGTTATTTTTTCCTTTAACAATGGCAAATCTTCTTTGAATGTAAGAATTGTACAACCTTTCATATCATAGTGTGTTTGAGGTAACGTATCTTGAACTATTTGTTTCACATCTTCATTAGGTGTCATTGAAATCGGTAAGTTTTCGCGATAGAACCAATTTCTGTCAGATTTGTAAATCTTAGCAAGGTCGTAAAAGCTTTTGTTGTTTCTTCTGACTAAATGCAACATAACCATATCTCTGTCTTCTTCATTTTCCATCTCTTCAGTATAAATCATATACTTATAGTTCTTTTCCTTTCCTTTTGGTACCGAACGTGGTATTCTTTTCTGAATGCTTTTGTCTTTTGCTTCAATGACTTCATCTTTTGCATGAAGTTTCTTTTCCATCTCTTCACGTTCTTGTCTATGAATTTCGTCAAGAAGTCTGTAAACATGCCAAGCATAACGAGGCGAAGCCCATATTGCAACTGCATTTACAAGAAGTCTATGTACATAATATCCTCTTAAATTTATTGGCAAATTTTCACGATTTTCGTACGGAATCTCTACCCTCGGTTTTCCGAGGGTAGCAAACATATGAGGAAATTCTTCTAAAAGTTCTTTTGTCTGTTGGTTTTCAAACCAATGATTGCTTGCTTTGTAGAACGAAGAGGCGTTCAAAATACTTGATCTGGTACATATCGTCTTTGACCGAACGAATGAGACGTAACTGTTTGTTATACTGTATGTACTCGTATTCTTCATTTATGGCTTCATGGACTATAACTGTTGTTGTGTTCTCTGTTGTTGACATATCTGTCTTTATATTCCGGATAAAAAAATATTTTATAAAAAATTAGCGTTATTTTCTATCTTTCACAAAAGACCAAAAATAAACGCTTTACATGTATTTTTCAGCAACTTCGTCAAATAATTTTATAGCTTTATCTATCTCATCTACTTCAAACGTTTCTTTACCTTTTATGGGAGCACCATACATTTTCTCAAACTTTTCAAGTAGTTCTGTTTCTGCAGCTCTCATATCGTTAACGAACACAACCTTAACTCTATTGACTGTACTGTCATATCTTTGAGTTATATTATATGTTCTTCCTATCTTATATCTCTTTGTATTGAAGTCCTTCGGTTTCTGAACGATGTAAAGTAAGCCTTCACTGCAACGTTCCGTATCGAATGAACCATATGTTATGAAGTTATATCCAACAACTGGGTCTAACCATAACAAAACTATTGGTATAAGACTTTTGTCTATAAGATATGCTGTAGTTCCATAGAATCTTACCGATATCATAAGCTCAGGATTTCTTGTCAAAATTTTCTGAGTAGAAGCAATTTTAACCCAGTCGTGGGATGTTTTCTTTCCAGATGGAGATATAATGTCTGACAAAGAATATTTGTTGTATTTCTTTGAGTATCTTACGTTTAAATCACCGATTCTAACCACTTTGGTGTCATTGTCTATCTTTCTAACTGTTTCAAACTCAATGTTTAACATTTCTGTTCTTACATACAAAATAAAAAAAATATTTTATAAAAAACTAACTTTATTTTTTCTATCTTAAGGAAATTCACGATTTTCATACGGAATCCCTTCTCTCGGTTTTCCGAGGGAAGCAAGCATATGCCATTTTACTCAGATTTTTGTTGCTGAATTCAATAAAAATATATTTTAGGTGAAGAGGTGAGATTTCACCTGTTTTTTCACCTAATTTTTCACCTCATGAATTTTCATGATTTCATCGTACATGTTTTGTCAAGACTTCTTCGTACATGAATTTTCATGATTTCATCGTAAATGTTTTGTCAAGACTTCTTCGTAATGAGCGTAAATGACCCAAAAATATATTTTAGGTGAAGAGGTGAGATTTCACCCGTTTTCTCACCTCTTTTCTCACCTCTTTTTTCACAAGCGTTTTACATGAATTGTACGATGTATATTTGAAATCCTAAACAATTTCGTAGCTTCTATTTCTTCTTTTAGTATGTCAAATGTTTTAACGATACCGAAAGTTTCTTTATACTTCTTCTTGACATCAGATAGAAGGAAATCGTCTGCTGTTGGATAGTTTTTGTTCAGAAATTCTAACATGTCCATTTTATTTTCTGCTGGCTTTTCTGCTTCTTTCTTTAAATCTGCATAGTCGTTTCTCATTCTTTCTATCTCTTTGACGGAGTAGTTATATTTCCTCATTGCTGCTTTACATTTTGAACATTGCGGGTTCATTTTTGCATTGTACATTGAAACCTTACCTGCAAGTACGACTAAGGCGTCAATGGTTTTCTTTAAATCTGAAGCAGTTGGTCTTATCTGTTCGTTCCATATTTTACCCCTTCTGTCTTTATCTCTTATCTGCCATACACATTCAGCAACTAACGAAACAAAGTTGTCGTAGGTCTTAAACTCCCCAGATTTATATATGTCAGAGATGTTCTTATATACCATATCGCAGTCTTTGTCCATGACTTTGTGGTTGCAATGAAAACCAAGGAATTCATAATTTACCTTTCGTATGAACTTCTTTATTTCTACCGAGTCAGTTGGTTTCACTTCAATTTCGTCGAATTCAGGAATAGTGAGTTTTTGTTGTTGGATTTCAGGTAGTTTAGGTAGATGGTCAATAATATCCTGCATTTCATAAAGATACTGTTCATTTTCTTCATCTTTCGCACTACAGTCTAAATTACTTGTTAACAGTTCTTGCTTTATCTTCTGGATTTCTGTTTCGAAAGTATATGAAGAAGGAATGAAGCTTTTCATTTCTACTAACATTGACGTAGGATTCATGACTAACGAGTTTGGTGAAGTTGTTGCTAACATGTTCTTACAATAAAAATAAAAAAAAATATTTTATAAAAAACTAAAATATATTTTTTATCTTAAGGAAATTCATGAAAATCCAACGGGTGAGAAAACAGGTGAGAAAACGGGTGACATCTCACCTCTTCACCTAAAATATATTTTTGTCGAAAAAAATGGTTCATTTACTCACAATATTTTTGTACAAAACAACCCCAAGCTTTTAACCTCTCTTCTGCAGCTTCTAATGCTATCTTAGCGAGTTCATATTCTCTAAATTCTCTCTTTAAATCTTCTTGTTCCCATTGGTCTAGTTCGTATGGCGAGTCTCTATAACCAGAACATATCTCACGTTCATGTTCTATTTGTTTTTCATGCATTTTTTCTAACTTCTTCTTCGAACAAAAGGTTTTGCATTCTCTACTGTATCTTCAAGTTCTTCTTCATCTAATTTCTCATGAACTTTCTTGTCTATGGAGTCCATAATTTTTCCAACTGCTATGCAATATTTTGGAGAAGCCCACATTGCTATATAGTTTACAAGTCTTGGGTCTACATACATTCCTCTAACCTGTTTGATTTCATCAGGAATTCCTGCATGAATTTGTATAAAAAGCAACCCGCTGTTTTCCGCGGGTTGGTATATTCTTCACAAAATGCCTCAAAATACTCTTCCCAGGACTTATTTTCCAACAACCTTCTAAAGTCCTTCCTAAACTGCTGACACATATTTGTTGCATTTATATAACCATCCTTGTCTCTACGTAAGACTTCAATACCGTTGTAAGTGCCTTTTGTGAATGTTTCGCCATTAGATTTGTTCGTGAACGTTTTTGCTTCGACTGACATTTCTGTTCTTACAATAAAAATAAAAAATATTTTTTGGTGGGACGTCGGACATTCGTTTGTGGCTTAACCGTCGGACCACAACGATAAAAATCTCGACAAAACATATACGATGAAGTCTCAACAAAACATTTACGATGAAGTCTTAACAAAAAATATACGATGAAATCTATTTCCTGTGTTGTTGTCAAAATGTCATGTTGTCACACTTTTTCAAAAAGATGTTAGTTGACCGAGTGACCGAGTGACCGAGTGACCTGGTCGCCTAAAATATATTTTTTTCTATCTTAAGGAAATTCATGAAAATTCACCTGTTGAATTTTGTATAAAAAGCAACCCGCTGTTTTCCGCGGGTTGGTATATTCTTCACAAAATGCTTGTTTTGAGGTCGAGCCACTTTTGGCTCCACCTCTTTTTTCAACCAAAAACTCATTTTTGTCGAATTCAGCACAAAATTCATGAAAATTCAACGGGTGAGAAAACAGGTGAGAAAACAGGTGAGAAAACGGGTGAAATCTCACCTCTTCACCTAAACATTATTTTTCAATACTTTTTCAGCACTTTTCCGTAGTTATATATGAAAGACAATTCGAGATAAAATTTCTTCATCTGAAATATTTCTACCGGCGTTTGTAAAGATATAGTCTAACGGTTTTGTATCTGCTACTTTTGTTCTTTGTTTTTCAACCTGAAGCATTTATATATGTAAAAATATACTGTTTTAAAAACGTTTTAAAATGGTATGCCATATAGCTTCTTGAATTTGTTAAGAAGTATATGAACGTTTTTTCCATCTGTATCTCTAGCGTTTACATAAGCATAGCCTTCCTTAGTAAAACATACTTGTAATTTTCTATAGTTTACGCCGGTATAAAAGTAGAAAGAGTCTTGTTCTTCGCTATAGTAGTAAAACTCAAGCGTATGCTTACCATAGTCTGTAATTTCAATTGTTTCATCTTCTAGTTCGTCGACAAATTCGAATACAATATCTCTAAATTTGCTTTTGTTCTTATTGTTTTCAGAACAAGTAACCCAACGTAAGTTTTCAAGTCTATTGTCGTTTCTTATATGGTTTATATGGTCTACAAAAGGTAAATTGTTAGGATTCGGTATAAAATGAGTTGCAATGACAACATGTTTAAAATAGTGTTTTCCACCAATCCTCATCCTAGCATATCCGTCATTTCGCTCACATTCGCTTAAAACTCTTTTTGTCTTTTTGTTTCTGACTTCAAATGACTCACAACAGTGAATTTCATATTTCTCATCTAACAAACAAGTTTCCCAACGGTCTTCTCCAACAAACTCAGCGTACATTTCAAATAAAATAAAAAAAATATATTGTTTTAAAAAATGTTTTATTTCATGCAATGTTTAACTATTTCACCATCTTCCTTAACAGCCCAGTACTTACGCTTGGAGAGGACATGAACTTCGGTGAAAATTTTGTCCAATTTGAATTGACCCATCTTCTCACCGACCATTCCCATTTCAATGAGTTTGTTGTATCCTTCTTCGTTCGTCATGAGTGCGTCAATGTTCTCATAGTAAACCACAACTTTGGATTTGACTTCGGAGAAGAATTTGTTGTAGTTGTCAAGGACTGCCTTTGCGAACTGAGGGTAAGACCAATGTTCGACAATAGGTTTTAATGTGGTTACTAAGCCACTTTGACCTTGAGTGAATTCGTACTTCAAAACAAAAGGAGAAAACCTTTCAACAAAGTTGTCGACCTTCTCATAATGTTTACTCTTCATCTCTTGAGGTTTTTTAATGGAATATCCCCATGTCGAATTCATAAGCAATTTGAGTGTCATTGCAAGTTTGGGGTTTGAAGCTTTCCTAATATCATACAGTTGTTGTATGACTTTTCCAACTGTATAGTTCCTTCCCGGGAACTCACCATCTTCGTTTGGAATTCCAGTCGGAATATATTGGACAAACCTCATGTACGCAGCGTTAAGGTCGACATAGTATATATTTTTCGTTTGAGTCGAACTTGTCGCAACCAATTGGTCCAGTTTGTGGAAATTCAAGTGAGTCTCTTATCTTCTGAGAAACTTCTCCTGTTATCTCATAAACATCGTCGAAGCAACCTGTTTCATATAAAACCTTCTGACCTAACTCAGATGCTCTCCAATACAATTTGACGTCAATTGGATGTCTCAATGGAAGTTTGTTTATAGCATCTTGAAGTTCTTGCAACCTCATTGGAAGTTCTTCTGGTTCAGGTTGGTATCCGAAACAATCCAACTCCTTGTGGAATTGTGTACTTCTTTTTGTACTAGAACTTTGTCTGGAACAACTTTTGGTCTTGCTAACAGTGAAAAGTTTGTTTCGTCTTTTGGTACAAAGTTTCTGTCAGCTTGTCATCTGGAATTGGTTCCAACAAACCTTTCTCGAAAAGAATGTTTACAGCTCTGACAATGTTGCACTTGCCTTTTCCGAACAATGGGTTTGTAAGACTTTCGTTCAACATGAAGTGGTTGTGGACAATTACAATCTTCAACCATGGTAAATTGAACTCAACAACATAGTCGTCATGTGAAGAACCTTTAGCTGTAGGTATGTTGACTCGGATATTGACATTTGCCAACGGTGCAATTTTTGCAATTGACCTCTGAGAATGTACCTTGTCTTCACACATGACTCAAGATACTTCATCTTCTCATCTGTAACAAGACCAGAGTTCCTGAGACATGTAAGAATACAAGGTTCATTGACAATTGTTTCAATTGAATTGTAAATTCCATACCTTGTCAAGTCAATGTCAGACTTATTTATGAAGGGGAAGTATCCAGCATGTTGTCTGACTGCTTGAGGGTTAGGTTGGTACCATTCGAACTTGACACTTGCAATTCCTTCAATTGCATTCAAAATGTCTGAGTCTGAGTCAACCATTTGTTCTTCTTTGTAGTCTTGAAAGCGTCAAGAAGTTTTGCGGCTGTTTGTTCATTGCCATGTGCATAGTAAATGTGACCATCCAAATCTGTTATTGTCAATTTGAGATTGTGTCCTTTCTTATTTCCGTCTTGAATTGCAGCAAGTACTCCCATGAAGCCTTCTTTGTTCTTTCCTTCGTCAAAGTTTACTGTAAAGGTTCGACCAGATGTAATTTGACTTCTAACTTCACGGTACTTCTCATATGCATATCTTGTTCTTTCCATGGGAGCATGTGCGTCTTCACCTTTTCCTTTTTTCCTTCTCAAAGGATGCAATTGTTCGTCATGTTTCCAGTAGAATCTGGCAAAGCCGTCGTGTCCTTCAACTTGAGGTTCACTAACATCGAAAGGCATGTCCATAAGACGTTCTTCTTCTAACCTCTCTAGTCTGTTTGGATAATTGGCACGTGCTGTTTCCAAATCCATTTCGTAGCGAAGACCAGACAATTTGTCATAGACTTTTATGGGTCTTCCCTTCCTATATTTAAAATTCTTCGAAACTCTCCAACCATATCTTTGCAACTCTGCTTTTATTCTAGCAGACTTTCTATCCATTCTATATGGGGGCATTTTTATAAAAATAAAAAAATATTTTTTTTCTTTACT